GCTTCGAATCACGTGCGTACGTAATATTATCACGTAATAACGTACAATACGTAATACACAACAAAAATCTTCATGTCCCCGATGTCCCCTCTGGGTCTTCGTACCTTTGCAATACATTTTCCATTTTTACCTAGTTCTGTCTGTCTGAAACAATCTATAAACAAATTTAAAATTTGTTTTCAATAAAATTGTAACCGTTTAAAAAAACAACACTTGTTCAAATTCACACATTTCCCTTTCTTTTTTCAATATAAATTGATTTCTCAATGTAGATTTGTTTCTCAAATAACACGATTTTGGACGATACTGACTACAAACTATTTACAATAACTACTTTTTTTCTCTAGTTGATTGTTTGAGAGTGCACACCTTCATAGGTGATTTAGGGGTTTAAAGCGTGTGTGAAAGTACAAGCTATGCACGTACTGTGGTCGTCCAAAGTGTCGCGCATAACTAGGGATCGAATAGGAAAACTGGCACCTGTCTATTTTCAGGTGTCAGCTTTTGTTTCGAGTATTTAGACAAACAAAATAATAGAACTGGTGTGATTTCTTTATTTTTGGTTAACAGGCCGAGCGCGTAGGGAAAGCGTGGAAGTTAGATTGGTGCGGGTAAATTGCACTTATACATACACGTTTGTGATTATCGTCTTTTAAAAACACGCACATTTTGATACACGCGTCTGTGGAACGGTGTGAACAACAGGTGACACTAAATGCAACCTCAGCCTCGGTCTCATTACTAGCAGCTGTTGGGATCGTACTGCCCCGAACCCCATGGGGACGAGGCTGTACCAAAACGACCGTTGGGGTGAGGGAACTATGTATAGACCTCGACGTGTGTTACTCTAAAGTCAGGAATTAAGCAAAAAGGGCTGTTGGACGTTTCATGGACCCGGCATCATTTATTGATAAATGTTTCAGAGCCCGCCTCAAAACAGTAATAAAATAACAGACTTGAGAAGTCCAACATAAAAACATACATTCAGGCATTATTCAAAACCACACATGACATTAAAAGTAATTGCATCATGGACATTCGTTAAACACGACTACAAATTCAACTTCTTAGCCAACAGACCGATCAGTGGAAGTTTGAATGAAATTTTAGCATATTTGCATATTTAATTTATTCATAGCAGTCTGTATAACGGTCCTGACGTTTGTCTAATCAGTTATAACATTGGTCGGAATACTTACCATATTAGGGGAAAGGTATAATAGGATGAACTCACACTGTCGTTTATAAGACAATAATTTTAATTTCCTCTTTTTAAATGAAACGACAAAACTGACCAACATTTTGCTTTTGAAGCCCATTTTATTTGTGCACCATCATACACATTCATTCATCTTTCCTTCGTGTCCAAAAGGAAAGTACACGCACCTGTATTTACGCTTCTGTTGTCTTGTTGATTCCAACACAATAGTCCCCGATCCGATATACAACTTCTAGCAAACTTGTTGAATTGAACTGGAGCGCACGCGCACCGCTACTATATTTACCTTGTTTTATCAAGACCTCAGGTTGAAAAAAACAAAAACACAAATCTCCAAAGTGATCAAAATGATAGATAGAATTGACATCGCTTTGACACGCGTCCGATAATTTTTTTCCCGGCTTGTTCATAAGTTCTGATTAATAACTGCAGATTCCTTTTATGATAAGACGACAATGACAGAAGGGTCGCAATCACAAAAGGGGCTGGGTTTGAGTGTGGATTTCAAAGGGAACATGTGGTGTTTTTTGTTTGTTTGCGAGTACAATGCTAATAGGAGACTAACGAGATGGCTAGTGTAACGTTATTTGCTTAGCAGCAGTATTATGTATTGGTAACTAAAATACATGCGTATAGAACAAACAAACATACAGAAAAAAAAATCGCCGCGGATTGCGCGCATGCTAAATATTTGGCCGCTATTCCAGTCGTCGCAACCGAGTCGGCAATCATCTCGATTCCGTTGATTCATTAACGGTCATTTTATTTTGCGCCACAGCGCCGATCTCGCCGCGGCCCGATGAGCTCTCTCTCTTTCTCTCCATAGTCAGAGATGATCAAGGCAGAAATGCTCCCGAGAACCTCTTAAAGGAAATGTGATTATGGATAAATACATGTAATGGACGGGCGAATATTGTAAAGCGGTGATCAATTCTCTCTCCCCGCAAGTTGTCTCCCTCTTGTTTTTTTTCTGTGTCTGTTTCTTACTCTTTATCTTTTTCGCCTTGCATATAACCGCACGCTGCGTCGCTATAGTTCCCGCGCTACAGAACCCCTAACGATCTGTGATGTTGTTCCGAGGTTCCCAAACCGCGGTCTTATAATCTGGCCGCGTCGACGGATGCAAGCACGCCGGGGCCTGTCACTTCCCATCCCGGGCTCGCTCCGTTAGCGACCCGGCGCGCTGCTTCCACCTGCATTAGCGATTCCACGACACATTAGCCGTGGAAGACAAGGCGAGGGTCCACCAGGAAATGAGGGCTTTTAAGATCTTACGGTCCCTGATTGCTAAAGATGTCGCTCGCGTCAGCTCATTAAACGCCTTCCTCTGACTGGGCCAGGGAGGAGAGCGAAGCAGAGACAAGAAAAGGCGGAATCACACTGTGGAGCAGGGAGGGAAAAAAAGAAGAGAGAAACGGGGTAAAAACAGAAATATTATACAAAGAAATTGAGAATGATGATGGTATGTAATGCCCAGAAATGAAGAACATTTAGAATCCAGTCAACGGACAGTACGTTGGAATCATACAAAATGGAACTAGGAGTGTGCCAGTATACAGGCAATATTCGAAGCCTGATTTTCGGGGTTAAAAGGACGGGTTTTGTTGATGGAGGTTGTAATGTTAGGGAGAAAGTGGCAAAGAACAGTGTATGTCAAATTGTGAAGCAAAAACATGTTTATTTTTTGACATGTCATGGCCTATAAACCGGGCACAAAATATATTAAAATCGACAAGTAGAATCCCTTGACAAACTCATACTCAATGAAGCTTGGCCAAAAGGTTTGGGCAATGTAATTTGTGTAACATTGGTATGAAATTACCCAATTGTTGTGTTAAACCGGGTAAATTTTATCCACGGTTTTGGCAGAATGTGCCCAAAAGTGTATGTAGTTGGTATGTTGATTGTTGACCAACATTGGGCAAAATACCGACCCAATTCCAAAACTTTTTTGAGTGCATTGATAATAGTATATTAAGCAAGATCGTGTGTATAAGCTACTCGGGACTGGCCCGAGTAATCGTTATAGAAATTATGTTTCCCTCTCACAGAATTGAAAAGCTATAGGAACATAAAGAAGGATCACTCATTATTGGTTATGCACTAAACAAAAATATTGGGCTTTCACGATGAGTATCTTTTCCCAGACATAAATAGATGATAGGAATGTCCCAAACACTACACTATAAAAATCCTGGGTCAGATTGACCCGGAATCTGAATCCAAATTTGCTCAGTCCTTTTCTGGGTCAAAATGACCTAGAAAATGTCATTTGCGACCCCAGAAGGGGTCATTTTTGACCCCGGAAAAGGACTGAGCAAATTTGGATTCAGATTCCGGGTCAATCTGACCCAGGAGATTTTGAGTGTAATTACAAAAACACAGTCTTGTTTCGTAGTTGTGGGAACATACACTCGTCTGTACGAGGTATTTGTGGGGACCAAAAACGCTGTGGGGACAGCAGAAAGTCCCCATAACTCGGTCCTAATTTGCCTAACAATAAAAAACTTCCCCATAACACGGTGTAGGCCTACCCACGAGTGACACATAAGGCACACACCAGTTACACACGATTAACAACCATCATAGTTGACGGATGAACGGACAATTTTTTTTTCTCATGGGCCTCTTTCCCTTGTCCGTGCCCATGAACCCATGAAGTCCAACAGTCAGCCGTCCAACGGACCGTCCATTCGGCCGGGACCGACCCGATGGTTTCCCCGGTCGGTGTCCAGTGTTTTACGCTCTGATCGTAATTATGCGCGTTACTTAATGAGCCGTTAACAAGAGTACTGAGTCACCCTGTAATATACCCATTAGTTTTGGGGGTGGCTTTTAATGGTATAATTCCACACACACACAAATCAGTCTGAGTTATTAGCCTATAATGATTGCCAAGGGCATTTTTTTTTAAAAGAACTATTCTTTATCACGTTTTGTTGAACTGACCGATGATATCACCATGACGTTATTTTGAACAAAAGTCGAAGATTTAAGTGATTAAAGTAAATGGTAGTGTAAGCTACGAGTATTAGTGGTTATTGTGTAGATTTGGCATCAACACAATTTTCTTCCCTGTTGGGTAAATGTCAATGGTCATTCAATTACTTAAATCGCAATCGTCTCCTCTTGTTTCAATGATAACACGGTCGTTTAAATATCACGCGTCTGTGTAAAGGGCCATTTGACGTCGATATGATAATTTCCTCATTGTGTGTTTTGTTTTGTTTTTACCCTCGGCTTTGCATGAAAGTTCGCACTTTGTAGCCTACCTAAATGGACGCTCATCATTCAGATATGTGCAATGCAGCGTGGGCTTTTTAGAGTGGAAAACACAATCACCAAACACCTAATTTGCAAGACACTTGTGATAGCCTACTTGCCTTGTTTTGAACGCCAATATCCTTTTGTTGTTGCAACTTTACCCATTGTTACACGCGAGTATAAGATTATCTATACCTATCGGACAACTACATGTAGGCCTACAGCTACCGCTTTCCTATACTCGGGAACGACTTTGGGTCTTCTGAAATGCATTGATCTCGTTGTGAAACCATAACAGAAATGGCGTATTGGTTTGAAGGTTCGTCTCTGTGTGATGTAGGTCAAGCAAGTCATTGCAAAACCTCAGACAAAGAAATCGGTCTGTCCTGGCATGATTTCTAACTGTGTTCCACCACAGCCTGAATTTCCGTCACCATGATAGATGTCCCGCACGATAGAAATACAAGACCGAAGTGTTCTATGGACATGCTTCATTCTGTCTTATTAAATCTGACAGTCGCTGTGGAGAAGCTGGCCTTCCGTTTTGGCGGCGCTCGTGTGGGAAAACTTGCGAGACTACCAAATCGCGACACCTTTTCCTTACCCTTCTTCCTGATCCTTGATGTGGCTCGTCCCGTACTGGAGAGAGCCAATTATGGTACACTGGAGGTGGAAGTAGCAGGCAGCGCAGGCGGTCAGGGAACGATACATCACTCTTTAGAGAGGGGTGCGGATCGACCATGTTTGCACGGAGATCAGTCATTGGGCCCCCGGGTCCGCGCGCGCGCGCCCAACACGCCAATAGCGGATTGGAGAAAAAGAAAAACGGGCGCGCGCAACTCGAGTGCGGACGGTCTCGAGAGGGCCTCCTCGGTCAAAATGAAATAAACAAGAAGGTGGCACCCCGAAGTGCTCACCGAACACGAAACACTCCAGAATGGCGCGAATTATTAGGCCAATTAAATCAATCCGGAAGCAGGGGCTTTGGCCCGTTGGAACACATTGTGATGGATCGCAGCTAGCTCTGTAGACAAACCCCTCCATTGTGATGGATGATATACCACGGTACCACAGTCAAAAGTTTCAACAGTTTTTAGCCACATGTTCGGCACAAAAGCCTTTCAATAACAGGATACTGTAAGTTTGTTTGATCTAAGACGGCATGACATGCATGACATCGACACCAGCGCTCTTGGTGGACAAAATAAAAAAAAATGGTAAGAAAGCAGTAACCGTTATCGAGAGTTTGTCTTTTCCACTTTTCCTATATCGTGAACTTATATGTGAACTCCTACATCGTGTTTTTTCTTTACTTTCAACAGTATAACACTAATTTATTGGCTTATAATATGGGCTCCGTGCGCGAACAAGAGAGGGCGCTTTTTGACCCCCTATATGGCCCCAGCGGGGGGTCATACCGCGTGCGTATATGTATACTGGTTCGCGCGCGTATGGCGCGAAGTACGGTACAAAAATAGGCACGACTTAAATGTATAAGACCTTTCTACGTTAGGTTGGCAAACTGTATTTTTGCCAACCACGGGTTGCAGAACTATGGAAGGTCCAACACTGCAAAAACGAAGAAGAGTTATTACAGATAACCAAAATATTATTTGATACTTGGAAATACAACAGTGTCAACAAACATAGGCCTACAACATAATTTCTACACATGCCCGTTGACTATGTATTGAAGGCGTTGTGAGGACGTTTTCTGGAAAATAATGGTCAACCCTGGCTTCAATTTATGCGCTTGTGGCAGTCCATATAAAATGGCGTCAATGTTTACAAACAAAAGAAAGGTCTATAGCGTCTTTTGCGTAATAGCGTCAGGCGTCGTCGGCAATGCGTTCGAATGTCTCTCCAAGTGGTCTCCCCAAGGCTCCCTTTTGTACCGTTGAGGGTGTATACTTGTGCACGAAGCGGTTAGCAGGAACTTACTTTAAAAGTCAATCAATGATTCTACAATTTAAATTGCACGTACATATTGATGACTTGTGACTTTCTGCTGTTTTACTTTAGGGCGCCTGCTTAAAAGTTGGTGTAGGCCCTATATGTTTTTTTATGGACTAAACATTCTGACGGTTCGTTACCTCTGTACACAGCGGCAACCTTTGTATTGTTACGGTGATTTTTGAGAGGAGTCTGGCACCAGACCGGTATATCGTATGTCGTATATATGTTTTATGCAGACTGGTAGCTGATCGTGGTAGGCATCCGTAGCTTATTCGAACATTTACTGTGAGTAATGCGCATGGGCAAAAATGGGCTTTGGCTAAAATATGTTGGGTTCAATGGTGGACAAAATTCAAATTAGCACTGAAACCGAGGGCCCCAGTGCTCTCTTTTCTCGAGAGGATTAAAACAAAAAGAAGGTCCTCAATACACATGTACATACAATGGCCTAGCACTGAGACCCTCGGTAATCGTCTATTAAGTAATTTGATGGTTTTAAGGAATATGTCAATGTCATGAATATTGTGTGTTTCCTTTGAGTAACATATTGGTACAAAGAGATTTTAGGAAGAAATCAGCACAGTTATTTGGAGCTTTAGAGAGAAAGGACTCAGGCATACTGTGTAAAGGAAAAGCCAGTCCTATCGATACGGATGCAACATTTTCCCCAAAAGAGATACACAAACAACCATTAGATGCTTCGTAAATAAATAATCTCTCGTCGGATTAACAAGGAGCGTGTGAACCAGGGTACTCGAGACCACAAGTTGCCCGGTCGGTATACGGGCCAGATGTCGGTTCGTAGACGATCGGTGTAACGCGCTGGGCATGTGCTGTTCCGGGTAGAGCTAACCCTGTGGTCCAACGCACTTCTTCGGTACACATTGGGTATCGATTGTTGGACCAAAAGTTGGGCCGGTTGTGGTTGACAGCAGGAGGCGGAAACGCCGTTCGATGACAGCTTCTGTGGTCGAAGGGAGGATGTATCTTTATAGAAGCGTGGAAAAAAAGTTTTCGGAGTCTTAAAAATTAGCTTTCAAATGTCACATCCCATTCCCATCAAAGTCTCTGTCGCTCAAGCCAGTCACACTACGTGCGCGCCGCGCGCGTGATTCAAAACTTTTTTTTTAACCGATTGACTCCCTATACATTTTGTGCCATCGTTATTTGCCCACACTATAATTTCATTATTTGCCCACACGTTAGCGATAAAATTCAAATTTAATTTGTGACTGACTGCGTACAAAATTCAGTGATTATTTGCTCCATAAACACTGAGTCTGAACACCACGCCTTTGGCACGGAGCAGCCATTTTGAAATCAAAGCGAGGCCCTGACTTCAGGTCAGTATGTAGATTGCTAAACTATCACCTGAGAATCCAGTCCAGTCCAGTCCAGCAGAAGCTTGCCATTGTAGCCTCAATTTCAACTCGAACGCGCAAAGCTATTGTATTACAAAAAAACTTATTAGCAACATATTCGTGTATACGAACAGCTTGGGAACTTGTAGTATAGCCGAAATATATCACTATAGATACTCAAGCTAAAGACTCGCTGTAGAATAATACAACCTTTGATTTAGGTCGGACGAATGGCTGGAAATGAATTTTTGGTTCTATTTCCCATTGTGTCACTATCAATGCTCATTCAGTGACATTGATTCAAAATTAATGGCACAATATTATATGCCCTGTATATAAGTATTCTCAAGAAGGTTATCTTAGATTTCATATGACATATGTGAGAAATTTCGCCTTTTTTTGAATGGTCTGACTTAAATAATCTTTCAGTTGCCTCGTACAGTAAACGATTTCCGGCATATCGGGCGCACCGGCAAAGTCTTATCAATGATACATTTCAATAATTTCTGAATGTGCATTAAAACCTCGTTTGGCGACAAGACTACCTCGTGTTTGGATTGACCAAAAGGCAATGGGCTTTGAAGTAAGTGATACCAAAGCTTTTCAGCGCTAGCTACATTTTAGCCAAAGGACAAAGTACTATCATGATATCATCCCGTCATTAAGGGGGTCGAGTTATGGGAACAAGCACGTGCAGGGTATATCTACGGCCGCGCACCACCGTGGAGTGGGGACTTGGGTGTGGGAAGAAACGCAGCCGGTCGCCCCTTCTCGTCTCCCCTCCGACTCGCTCAAGCACCGCGACCGCTGAACAGCTACGCCGGTATTTTTCGGGGGGAAGGCCCGTATATCATGCACTCTAGTTCTCCCTAGGCAACCGTGGTAGCACAGAGGAGTCGTTCTGAAGAGGGCAACATTCGCAGTTCGATGATGATGACAACACTGTTCTCTGATAAACACTCTATTTACTAATGGATAAGTTTTTGGTATAAGAAGACAATCTAGCAGTAGGACACACAATACACACCAAAACAAAAGCCCGACATCACATGCACCTGTAGTGTGCACTAATTACTATGAACTATTTTGGGAATTGGAGTGGATTTGCGGTTATTTCAATGACAAGAAGTAAGTTCAAGTTTTATGTTTTTGAAAAATTACTTGACCAGAGCGTCAGTTAATATATAGGTTCCTGTATTTTATAAACTGTGTGACGTAGACGATCACACGTAAAGCAGCAATATAGATACTTGCAGTTTATTTGAGGAAACAATTATAAGCCACAAACAGTCCTCTGTTCAGTAACACTCTTGTCAGCCAGTATTTATTCATTTTGATTTGATATTGATCAAATTCTGTTCATTTGATTTTTCAAATCATATTGCGCCAAATGACAAAAAAATAAGGTAAAACTTGTGACAGCAAGTTTCTAAAGCTTCTTAAATTATCAAATCCCATCTAATTGCATTATGGTCGAGACCCTTGTGCTATTTTTACTGGTTCAAAAAGGGTTTCCAGTATGTTGTTGCTTAATTAATGCGAATGAGATTGCGAGGACTGGCTGTGCTGTTCTTGATCAGAAGCCCTAAGTTAAACGTTATGCCAACAATTCAATGATTTTTACCACGAAGCTCATTCCAAATTTGATGGTATACGACCAAAAACAATCTAAACCAGCCGATCGACTTCAAGCTGAGGAATATGTTGTTATTATTCCTATATTGGTAAAATCCCAGATTGCTTCACATAGTTCAACACGTGACCGAAATCCTGAGTTCACACGGATTTGTTATTTAGTTTAATCACAGCAGGCACGTTGTATCGGAGCGTCACTTTTCTGTTTATGCGTGCTGTTGTTCCGCTCAACTACACCTTCCGTTCATTGCAACACCATCGTCGACATCGATCGTTTGAACAGCTCTCCCCTCGTTGAACCTTTCAACAGAAACCGTCTTCAAATAAAGCAGCGAAAAAAGCTTCTTCCACCACTCACCTCTCGACCGGCCACCCTGGATGGCCAGAGCCAGGCCAGGCCAGGCCAGGGCATCGGGCCGGCGGCGCAGTATAACATGGCGCTCTCTCTCCGCTATAGAGTCTAGAATGTACATGTATTCCACGCCGTGCCCAATTGCCTGTCATTGTCCCTACACCGTAAATTGACAGCCTCCGCAGATTGACTGTGGACATACCGTCTGGTCAACACAAACATGCCTGTATTAATAGAAACAATAATCACACTTTGGCTATTAACTAATATAAGGACGAGTTCAGCCATCTCGGCGCACGTCTATATGACAAACCGCGGGTATATAGGCCTACGGTATAAGTGCGGCAATTTCGCGAGAAACAGCGCGCGATCGCGAGAGAAGTCAGCGGG